CACACACACACACACACACCACTACCACCATAAACATGAGAAACCTCTGTCACAGTGTGTGTAAAAATGTATATATTGTGTTGCAGCTGCTTTAATATCTAATTTCCCTTTGGGATCAATGAAGTATTTTTGAATTGAATTGAATGACTAATAATCTGAGGAGTTTTTATTTGCATTTCGTCATTTGTTTGTCTTTTCCTCACTAATTACTAAAGTAATTTTTCAAGTTTTTCAGGAAACACAAAATACACAGGCCGTTGTTTTAAGGGGTAGAATCAAAGGATCTGATCAACTAAATTGGTTTTACCAAAGGTGGCCGGCATCATGAGAGGTTTAATAAAAAAAAAAGTCAGTTTTGTTGAATATTTTAGGAAAATGAAAAAATGATAAACATTTCTCCCTGTTGTAGAGGACCTGTCACTGTTGGGCTGGACTCTGCAGCTGCTCCAGAGGCAAGTTCCTCTGAGGTAAACATGGCTGGAGGGGGAAAGCCCCTTATTATTGTGCTCCGGATGACGTCCCTCACTCTTCCAGTGTTTACAGTGGAAATTAGTGCCAACATCCAGCAAGCAGGTGCTTCCTCAAAAAAAAAAATTAAATTAAATTAAAAATTAAAAAAATACTCAGCTCTTTTCCCAAAAGATTTAAGGATTAAAAATGAATCTCATCAAGTTCAACTTTTAGATTTAAAATTTTTATTGTTGCAGAATCAAATTGTTTACTTATAAAACAATTACAGGTTAATTTCCTTCCTCTGTTATCAGAGTTACTCTGAGCTTGTTGCTGACAGATTTTACCTGTGTGAACCTGAGGTCTAACCCAGCCAACTTCATAATACTCCAACACTCATCGTTTTATTTTTAACTTTTTCTTACTAGTTTACTTTGTAAACCCCAGAAGAATGAAGTTCATTCTGTCCTCCTCTGCTCAGATCCATGTTGAATGTGTCACCTGTTTAAGTTGTTCTCTCTGTTTGTCTGTGACAGGTGGGCCTCAGGACCCTCACAACCTGAACACACTGAAGCAGAAAACTTAACATGAAGTTTGGATTTTGGTCATGTGGGATCACAATGCAAACGCTGAAACAAAGATTTTTTTACACATTTGGATTATTTGTTGTGTGTCTACTTATTTTACCTTTTCATTACTTTATAATAAATCAAATCCCTTGCACCAGACAAAAAACAGAGTTATCATTTCATGTTTTAGAACCAAATTAATAAATTCACTGATTATTTTTATGCCCCCATCTAACAAAAACTTTAAATTTCTTTTTATCTCCAAATTTATTGTTTCAGTGTGTATTACATGCATCAATTCTCAGCTCCTATAAGCAAAAAATAGAATATCATTCAGTTTAGAAGTTAATCTGTCAGTTTACTGTTGAAGATCAACTCTTAATTGGGTCATTTGTAGCAGCTTGAATCTATTTCAAATAAATAATTAGCCTCTATTTGCTGATTTTGATGTTCTTACCGTGAGCTGGAAGAGGCATAAAGTCGTTTTGATCTTGTTTTGAGACTGATTTACTAAACAAGAACTGATTGTGTAAGAATAATAATCTTGTTTTCAGAATGTGTAAGATTATTTGACTTGTTAGTCTGAAAATTTGACTCAAATTAAGTCAAAATTTTCTGCCAATGGAGTAAGAAAATTTTACTTGGTAAGATTCTTGAAATACCTGATTTGACTCAATTTTTTCTTATTTCAATATTTCTTACTCCATTGGCAGAATTTTTTTTACTTAATTTGAGTCAAATTTTCAGGCTAACAAGACAAATAATCTTACACATTCTGAAAACAAGATTATTATTCTTACACAATCAGTTCTTGTTTAGTAAATCAGTCTCAAAACAAGATCAAAAAGACTTTTTGNATCTTACACATTCTGAAAACAAGATTATTATTCTTACACAATCAGTTCTTGTTTAGTAAATCAGTCTCAAAACAAGATCAAAAAGACTTTTTGGCTGGGTATAAGATTTTAAAACTTGGTTAGGTGGACATTTTTTGCAGTGCAGATGAGAAGTAAACAATATGAACCATAACTGCTCATATTTTCACAGCCGGTGGTTCAATGTGTCGCTGTGGTACACCTATAGTGATGCTGACATGATTTTTTTTTTCATCAAAGACTGGTGCGTTTAGCCATTTTTTTAATTTAAATGTGACTAATTGTTTCATTCTTTGAGCTTCTCTAGTCCTGCTGCCCTTCAGTCAAAATGATCCACAAGATTTTGACCCAAAGGTTGTTTTTTTCTGCTTTCTGTTTAATTTCTGAAGACATTTTGCTTCTCGCCAAAGGAGTCTTCTTAATTCAAACTGAAAAGTGCAAAACGGCTTTTTATTTCTAAGCTCACTTCACACATAAACCACTCTCCATCCCCGCTCTCCAGAGGGTCGTTTTACTGTCCTGGTCTACAGCGAGATGTTTTGATTATAAGCACGAGAGTATAAAATGACATGAAATCTGTCTGAAGAGTCAAAGCTGCAATATGCTGTGTGTGCTGGAATGTTGAAACTTTAAACCTCCTTCTCTGTTTCACGCTGCTCCGTCTTGGTTGACAAAGATGTTTCGTTGCTCCTCGAAAGTGATTCTCAAAAATAACGCTACGAGAGCAGACAAACATCAAACCCACAGCAAATAAGGAGGAGGAGCGGGCGGCCCACGCAGCTCGTCGAGACGCCGGGTTTTGCTTGTGTTGAGCAGTCAATCACAGTGACACCAATTATCTGTGTCACATGACCACAGGAGACAGTAAAGGAAAACGCGAGAAGGGCATATACATCAACCCTGACTGGAGGTTCTGTGAGGAAAGACAAAGGAAGAATTCCTCAGAGTCGCCACACTCCACCTTCTTTAAGATGCCTAATAATAATGTTTGGGATATCTCCTGAAACAATGCATGCTTCTCCAGAATTCATTACAGACTTGTGATATTTGTAGCATTATTTCATCATAACAGTCAAACTGTTCCATTTTGTCGCATATTATCTACAGCTATTCTATCTCTGCTGCAGTTCTATAGAAGTGATCAGAGACATTAGTTCCCACAGTGTGACTTTACTGTTTTATTTTCAGAGACATTATGTGAAAGACATTCAGTAAAAGTATTAATTACAGAGAATGGTGTCTTTTCTGTCAGAGAAGCACAACTGAAAAGCCTTAAATACAGAACAAAGCTGTCTATGATACACTGAATCAGTGATGGAGCTCTGCTATAACATGGTTATCTGAGTATTTTCTCAATTACCCAAAGATAGCTAAAAAAGGTACTTTTATAATATTGTTAAAGTATTTAGATTACATAAAATATGGTCAGACTCATTCCTGAATCTAGAAAAATAGAGCAACAACAACGGTGTGAATGCACCGCAGATATTTGAAGAAAAACTACAGCATTTGCCACATATAAGTCCGTCTTCTGACAATCACATTATTGCATCAGTTCTACATAAAGTTTATGATTTGTACCATTTCCTGTTCATGGGTACAGATTCACTAAAGAGTTGTTGAGACTCAAACTGCAATTAAAAATTATGCAAATCTACATACAATATGTGCATTCAAGTATTTCCAATCATTTTGTTATATAGTGTTTGACCAGCTGTGCAGATGCACCATTTAAACGTGACAAATGCTTTTAGTTCTTGTTTAATAGAAACTAACAGTTCTTACTGATCATCAAGCAGAATTTACGTTTTTCAGACCATCTCTCCTGTTTGCAGTTCTTCAAAGAAAAAGTTCTGCAATTGCTTCAAAACAACCCAAATAACTTGCAGAAATAGTAACAAAGTATATTTACTTCGTTACAGTACATAAGTAATTTCTAATTTTACCAAGTATTTTTTTAAATCTGAACTTTTACTTTTGTTTTGCTACGTTAAAAACATAAAAATGATACTTTTACTTCTTTACTTTGAAATAAAACATTGTTACACGTTACAAATTTAAATGTGATGGAACTCATAATGAAAACAGTTATTCGTGAACTCTAAAAAAAATGAAGTGTTGAATTTACTCAACCAAGTTAAGTCAGTTGGTTCCACTAAACTGAGATGAGCAAAATGAGCAAAATAAAATGTGTACATTTTCTTTACATTTATTCAACTTAAGCTGGTAATGTAAATTCAACTCTCTTTGTAGAGTGTGTATAAAAGTACTTTTACTTTCTTGATTATTGTGAGCAGTTTTATGACTTTTACTTCAGTAGCTTTCTTATCAGTCAAATATATTTTTACCAAAGTCGTTTTAGGTTAAGGTATTTTTACTTTACTTGGTTATTTTTTTCAAGTACTTTATACGCCTCTTTTCTCTTCCTTCTTTGTCAGATTTATAGTCAACTCTTTTTCAAACCCTTTGACTCAAGGCTTATATCTTCTTCTTGGCTATTTATTTCAGTCTCTGAATCTTCTACATCAGCGTAAGCTCCGTCCTCTGATTCATCTCTCTGTTTCTTCAACCCATCCAGTGGCATTAACATGGTTTCTTTAGCTAATTTGGTTAATTCATCCGAAACGTCTGCTTTGCTTATGATAAAAGGCTGCTGTCCACGTTCAGTTTCTTCTTCTTCTTCTTCAGTCTGATCTGAATCTTCCTCTGCTTCATCTCCTCCATCGGCTGAAGCTCCCTGGTTTCCACTCCAGTCTTCGTTGAGCATCTCCTCGTCCTCCTTTTCAGATTCTTCCGCGTTTTCCTCGTCATCGTTGAGGCTTCTGTTTTTCTGACACTCATCGCCCTTATGTTTGATTTGGTCCATTGCAAATTTCCTCACAGCATCCACATCGTCGTCTGCTTTAACTGTTGATTCTTCTCTTCCAAATTTAACTTCGGTTTCTTCCTTTTCAGCCTCTGCTTCAAATTCTTTTTCATCGCCACTTTTTGTAATCTTGTTGTCTTCTTCTGGTTCTTTTGACTCCTTTGTTTCCTGATCTTCAGTCTCACTTTCTTTTGATTCACTTTCATCATCAGATTCCTCTCCGGGTGTTTCACCCTCTTCTGCTTCCTCACTTTTAGATGCTTCTTCACTTTGTTCCTCTTCTTCTTCCTGTAAGTCTTCTGTGTTTTTTTCTGACGATTCTTTCTCATCTTCAGCTACTTCACTTTCATTTTCATCTGTAGCTTCTTGTACGGTCTCACCTCCAGTCTTCCGTTCTGAATCCTCTTCTCCTGAGTCGTTTTTAACCAACGTATCAGTTCCGTCACAGATATCTTGTTTTTCTTCATCTGTTTCTTCCTCCACAGCCTCAGTGGTTTCAATGCTGGCTTTTTCTCTCATCTTCCTCATAATCTCTTTGTCTTCTGCTTTCTCATCTTCCTCCGATACGTCTTTGCCAGATTCACCTTCAGTTGTCTCTGCGTCAGTTCCCTCTTCTTCGTTTTCATTTTCACTGATAACATCTAGATCAGGTTTTTTTGCTATAGCCGGTTTATCTTCGAAGTTAGCCAGTTCTTCGTCGGCAGACTTGTCCTCTGATTCGTGCTGACTCGTGGTTGTCAAAGTGGTTACTTCTGCATGTTCGTCTTCCATTGTGGTTTCTTCTTCTACAGCCTGCTTATCTTCAGGGTCATTTTCAGCCTGCTCAGACAGTGCACTAGTCACGACATCCTCCTCATTCGTCGTGGACTTTCTACCCTCTGCAGAATCAGCTTCACTGGTTTCTTCATCACCATCCGTTGCTTCTTCTTTCTCTGTCTCATCTGAGATTCCATCTTCATCCTTTGATTCACCTTCCTGTGAGACGGCAGTCTCATCATCCACAGCCATGTCATCGTTAGTCGTTGCTTCTTCGCTTGACTCTTCTGACGATTCATCAGCTGTGTCTGAATCAATAGTTTTAGTATCGGGAAGCTTTTCTACATTTGTGACTTCTTCAGACTTTGATGCATCTTCCTCAGATTCATGCTCACTTGCAGCTGCTACAGAGGTCTCTGGTGCTTCAGTCTCGTCTTCTGAAGAACGTTCTTCAGCAGAGTTTTCGCTGGCCGTACCAGTTTCTTCTCCTGCATCAGAGTTTCCCACTTCCACAGCTTCCTCATCATCAGATTCGCGAACAGTGCTGGATGCTACAGAAGCATCTTCATCTTTGGCCATTTCATTCTTTGATTCATCCTCTTCTGAGACCACGGTCTGGTTCTCTACAGCGTTCTCTCTGGCTGTTGTCATTTCATCTGGTGTTTCTGATGAGTCGTCAACACTGGTGGAGTCTTTTCCACTGGGACAAGTTGCTTCTTCTTCACTTTCTTCAAAAATCTTTTCTTTTTCAGATGTCTCCTCTACTACAAATTCATCTTCAGTTGGTTCTTCGGCTAACTCACTTGATAGGTTGTGACTTGTGGCATCCTTCTCGTCTTTAGGTCGAGTGGCATCTATATCATCTACTATGCCATTTTCACTGCCAGTCTTCTCCTCAGCTGCAGTGTCAGATTCCAGATCTGTCACTGCAGTCCGCTCTACAACCTTGTCTGTCTCAGATGCAGGCTCACCGGCGACTACCACCACTTCTTCGTCTTCTGCTGTGGTTGCATGAGATGTTGTTTCCAGGATATTCTCTTCACTTGAGATGTCATCATTTGTTCCTTCGTTCTCTTCTACACTGGATTTACATTCAGTTGTTGCCACATCAACCTCCGCTGCAGCGTCTTTATCTTCAGCTGTGGTAACTTCAGCTTCCCCCTCTTCAGATTCACCATCAGTTTGCCTTTCTGCAGCTATTTCGTTCTTGTTTTCGGCTTCTTCTGCTGCTTCTTTTACCTTTTTGTCATTAATAGCTGTGTCATCTTTTTCAGAATGCATCACTGATTGTGTCATTCCTTTCCTCCAAGGAATTATCCATAATGCTGGCATCAGTTTTTTCTTTACTGTGTCATCTGATGTCTTTTCTTCAGCTGTGGTTGTGACAGCGCTTTCACTTTCTGTCCTCTCATCCTCTGTTTTGTCAATTTCGTCATCTAGACTATCATTATCCACAAGATTTGGTGCACTTTCACTTTTAGGTGGTTGTGCACAAGCAGAACTATTTGTTTTCTTCAGCAGGTCTTTTTTGAAACTACTGTCCATGACAATGGGAGCTGTACTTCTAACTATTGCTGCAAGATCCAGATTTGGAGTCATCTCCTCCTTTATGCATGTTTCACATGGACAGCCTTCTTCAATGTTGTCATTGCGTTGGTCGCTGTAAGACGTCCCTGCTGCAGAGTCGTCACTTTTTTCTGCCTGTGAATCCATGGACTGTTGCAGCCGGATCTTCCTCCTCTGTCGTCTCTCCTCTGATTTCATTGGTGAAACTCCAGACGCCGCTTCTTTGGGTGGTCTCGGTAAACCCGCTTGGATTTGAATCCTCCTCACCTCTCTGTCGATGCTCGTTTGGATTCTTCTCTGAATCTCTGTTTTATGTTGGTTTATTATCACGTCAAGCTGATCCCTGTCTTCCAAATTCAGTCGAACTTTGAACTCTTGCATTGCATTGGTATAATGAGTCATGAACTGGTTTTCTATTTTAGTTAGTAAAGTTAGCACCCAAACAGGATCAAGATCTTGAGACTGTATTTGGTCTAGTTTTTGGCTGAAGGTGGGGCTTTGAGAGTTGGTGTCTTCTTGACTTTCTGATTCATCTTCTGGACGTTTTTGACCATTACTGCTGGAATCTGCTGATGTTTTGTCTGAGGACGATGGCGTTTCAGGTGGTTCTCTTGGACTGTCATTGCTTCTGATGGTTTCGTCCGTTCCTGGGTCTTCGTGCTCTTGTTTTTCTTCTCCTCTTTCCGATTGCCATTGAATCTTTGTTTCGTCTCGTGCTTGCAAACCATTCAAATCATTACTGCTTTTCACTCCATCACTGCTCTTCCCAGAACCTGTGGAGCCACTGTTGACGTCCACACCAGAGGATGATGTGTGGTTATACTCTTCATCCACAGAGCGGTGTTCATTTTTGTTTTGCACGTGTTCAATCACTGGGGGTTCGGAAAGCCAAAGTGACTGGAGGATTCCCATAAGCTCTTGGTACCTTTTATCCTTTTCATTTGCATTTTTAGGGTCATGGTCTATCAACTGTAGTTTCACAAGACAATCCAAAAGGCCTTTAGCTGAGGTACTTAGCTTACGTCCATAAACTGGAGAGATTTCTGGTAAACTGTTGCATCTATCAAGTTTAGGATTTAAAAGCACTTTCATAACTTGTATGGATGAGTTGATCATTTTTGAACCAGCTTCCCTCTGAGTGCTGGAACTATCTTCATGTGTTGCCTCTGCACTTGTTTGGCACTCATTGCTATGGACAACATTCATCATGTTTTCGTCACCTTTTATTTTATTTTCTGTCTCAGTCTCTATAATCTCACTATCCTCTGCTCTATCAACTTCTTCTGCTTCAGCGTGACTTTTTAGTTCATCACAGTCTTCATTAAGTTCCTCTAAGTTGTATATGTCTCCCTCTTCAGGTAATCCTTTAAGCCATTCGTTTACCACCTCAGTAGGGGAGGAATTAGGCAGGATGGAAGTGACCAGCTCAAAGTCATCAGCATCTTTGTTCTTTTGACTTATTTTACAGCTTTTGTCACTTTTATTGGTGACACTTCCTTCATTGTCTTCAGCTTCCAGCTGACCGTTTGCTATCCTCTTTGAAACATTTGACTCTTCAGGAGCAGAAGTCCCACAAATCTCTTTGATTATGTCTGAACTGGACACAGTTTGTGACAAGTCACTTTCACTTGACTCTGCGTGACAAATTACTTTCGCTTTCTGTGCACTTTGGGAGGCTGTGGAGTTTTCAACAGCAACCTCTGTTCTTGTTTCTTCTGTACTTTTTCCTCTTGACTTGTTTGTGTTCAAACTTTCTTTATCAGATGTATTTTCTTTGCCTTTCTTATGCAAACTGTTTGCATTCTCATTGCTCACAACTTTCCTCGCACCTTTGGATGCAATGCTGGCTGTGGAGATGTCTGTCCTTTTGGATTTTTTAGTTTTAACGGACAGATGTGAGCGCACACTTAAAGAACTTTGTGACTTTTCATCGCCTTTCTTTCCCTGAATCTCAGATGTCTTTGACTTCTTTGAATGTGCTGAAGCCTTGGACTTGGTTGACGTGGTCGTAGGTGATCTATCTTCACTCTCTTCTACTGTCACAGCAGGCACATCAGATAGATTAGATATTGCTGACACGGGACTAATTGTTCTTTCCTCCATATAAGTAGTTATTTCTTCAGCTGGAACATCAAGCACTTTCGATTTCTTAGATATTTCTGAAATACTTGATTGTACTGATGTGACACTTGGTGTTTTCTCTTGGCTTGATAATTCTTCAGGATGTGGTTCATGAACTTTTGAAACTGTATTTGTTGGTGTCTGTGGTTGGGTTTCATTTTCAGACCTATCTGACACAAGACTTTCTTCTCTCTCTACTTCAGCAGGCAAGTTGCCTTTTGGTCCAGTTGATTTCACAGATTTAGCTGAGTGTGAAGATTTAGCTGACAGTGATTTTGCTGATTTAGCTGACAAGGTACTTGGCGCTCTCTCTGAAGTTTTCATTTGCTCGCTCACATCTTCAGCAGCACAAGTGTGAGATTTAGAGGATCTATCAGATGCGTCAGACAAACTTGTTTTAAATGATGTGCAGCTTGCAGCTCTGTCCTCTGCTGTTTCTTCATTGCAGCCCTTGTCGGCTGCAGCGTTTGGGCATTTGGAGTCCTTTGATTTAGCTGACATATTTGACTTGATCGTTTGAGTGCTCTCAGGTCTTTCTTCGTGATCAAACTCTAATGCACTTTCTTCTGTTGGAGTAGCAGAAACTTTGGACCTTTTAGATTTTGCAGATTTTCTTGACTTTGCAGACACAGCACTCTCTGGTCGGCTCTGAATGCCTCTGTCATCATTTCCCCCCTCTGGAGTGTTAGTTGAAGAAAGAATCTGAGTCGAAGCATTTGACTTTGTTCTGGTGAGGTTCTCTTCAGCTGCAAAATTGATCGAATTTTTTGACCTATTCGATCTTGAAGAAATATTTGTCTTGACTGAATATATTGACATTGAGCTCACTGATTCATTTTCAATATCTTCTTCAGTTTTTTCTTCATTGTAATTTTCAGCACAGGGCTCACAGGGAACACCAGAAACTTTGGATTTCTGGGACAATGTAGAAACTGTCGACTTTGCTGATCTAGAAGACATATTGCTTGGACTTTTGTCTTCATGTTCCTCATCACCACAGATGTCTTCATTTGCTTTTAACTTAGTAGATGCTGTAGAAGTAGTAGACTTTGTTGTTTTGGCTGATAGTGCACTGTTGGTTCTTTCTCGCACTTTGTTTGCATCATCGTCCATCTCAGGAATGTTGGAGGTTGATCTAGACTGAGCTGAAACATCTGTTTTGACTGATCTAGCTGAAGTTTGTGACTTTGCTGATTTAGCACTCTGTGGTCGGTCTGCAGACTTTGATGATCCCTCGGAAACATGAGATTGGACAGATTTAGCTGACATGCTGCTAGGTGTGCTGTTCTCACTTTGCCTTGTGTTATTTCTGTCATCAGTAATCTCGGAGCCTTCTTTAGCGGGACATGGTGATCTGTCTGTCTGAGGTGACGCTAAACTTACTTCCCTCTCTTCAACAGTTCTTACATCAGAGTTGTTAAAAGCGTCCTCCACAGGAACTCCTTCAGAAGCTGTAGAAACGTTTGACTTAGGTGATGTCTCTGATTCAGCTGATAGACTGCTTGGAGACCTGACAGTACGGTTCTCATCATTCGGTCCTGCTGTCTGAGTAGATTTACCTGAAATCCCAGAGTTGGTAGATTTTACAGACACAACACTGCGTGTCCTTGTTTCATTCTCACTGTCTGCCTCATCAGGAAGAGCAGCAGGTTTTCCAGACTGCATATCAGAAACATTTGTTTTCACTGAAACGGCTGAAGACTTAACACTTGAAGCTCTCTCTGCAGACTTTACAGAAATTTCCGACACAGTTGATTGAACTGATTTGGTTGACCTATTTGACACCACTGACTGGGGTGACATTAGCCTCTCTTCTATCTCTTCTTCAGCTGTTTTTTTCTCTTGACTGTTTACCCCACCCTCCAAGCAAACTTCAGAACGTTTTTTCCTTTCAGACACTGAAGAAACATTCGACACAGTTGACATTTCGGATCTGACTGACAAATTACTTGAAGCTCGTTCTATGTGATCTTCTTCACCAGTTAGGTTTTTCTCTGTTGGATCATCCAGTTTTTCGGATTTTTTTGATTTGACAGAACTTTTTGACTCAACAGTTTTGGCTGAAAGTGCACTCTGTGCTCTCTCGTGTGTTTCTTCTGCAGGATTTTGACCTGAACAGGCTTCAGAAACACTCGATTTGACTGATTTTACTGAAGCACGTGACTTTGCTGATTTCGTTGATAAAGCACTTTGTGTTTTCTCGGCAGATTTGATGGATATTTCTGAAACAGAAGACTGGACAGATTTAGTTGACAGGCTGCTTGGTGGTCTTTCTTCGTGGTCTTTATCATTCTCTTCATTAGTAGCCTTTGAGTCATCTTCAAATGAAGCATTAGTTGCAGAATTTGATTTATTTGTTCTTACTGAAATATTTGAATCAACTGATTGGGAGGACGTTGGTCTCAAATTATTGTCTTCACTCTCTCCACCAGGTGTGCCGAGCTCATCCTCCAAACAAACGGCAACAACCTTTGATCTCTTAGATGCTTGAGAAACATTTGTCTTTGTTGATTCTTTTGATCTCCTGGACATATTACTTGGAACTCTCTCCACATGTTCCTCGTGGTTAGATCTGTTTTCATCAGCTGGATCTTCACATTTTTCAGACTGTACAGGTTTGTCTGATAACCCGCTCTGAGGTCTCCCCTGAGTTTCACCTGGTGTTTGAGCAGTTGTGAGAATCTGAACATCAGCCATGTTTGTTTTAACAGATCGTGTTGAAGCACTCGACTTAACTGAGGAAGCACTCTGTGGTCGGTCTGCAGAAACATGTGAGTGCATTGTCCTGGCAGATGTGCTGCTTGGTGGTCTTTCCTCAGCTTGCTCTGTGTCTTTCTTAGAGTTTGTCTCCTGTAGAGCAACAGTGGAGCCTTTTGACCTGGTAGATCTTGCAGAATTAGTGGATTCAATTGTTTTTGCTGACATGGCGCTATGAACTCTTTCTTGAATTTTCTCATCATCGTTTCGTTCATCAGAATTCGTTTTTGAACAAACTTTTGAAGCATTTGATTTGGTAGATTTACATGATTTTGCTGATTTAGCTGAGAGAGCACTTGATGCTCTATCTGAATGTGATTCCACTGATGTCCTGCTCGTTGCTCTGTTTTCATTTTTCACTTCCTCGTTTTCTGCACACAGGATCTCGGTCCTTTCGGCAGCAGGTTTAGGAGCAGAACGGTTTGACCTTGTTGAGACAGTTGACTTATCTGACAGTTCAGACACTGAGCTCACTGATCTCCCAGTCTCTCCTTCAGGAACAGTTTCCTCTGAAGCATCATTGTGGACGTCAGTGGAAACACATTTCCCACAAGTATTTGACATGAAGGTTTCATCAGAAACAGTTGATGTGTTGCTCAGGGCTCCTTCACTCTGTTCGGTGAGACGTTCAACAGAATTGTCACTTTGCTTTAATGGATTGGATTTTGCTGAAGCATTTGAAAATGTTGATTTGACTGACAGGTTTGACTTCACTGACATTACACTAGGTCCTCTCTCCTCATCATTTGATTCTTTATCTGATTTGTCACATTTTGACTGACTTGATCTAACTGATATGTTTGATTTGACAGATTTATCTGACATGCAGCTTGATCTATTATTAGTTTTCTGTTGATCATCTCCTTCACACATTTTGGAAGTGTCTGGTGTTTCCTCAACTCCATCATTGTAACTTAACATGTTCGACTTGTCAGACCTGACCGACATGACTGACAAAGTGCTCTGTTCACTCTCTCCTCCATTACTTACATTGTCTGAAATGTGAGCACTTTCTGTAACTGTAACCTCAGATCTCGACTTTCTAGACCTGTTTGATTTTTCTGATTTTGCACTCTGTGCTCTCGCTTCAGATTCATTCTCATTTTCTTCCACTTCCACCGAGTGCTGACTGCTTTCCTCTTCAGATGTCTCACATGATATTTGTTTTAATTCAGCAGACACGTTCGACAAAGCGGACATCACGCTCGGTGTCCTCGACTCAAAATCGTCCTCGGTTTTGTTTTCGCTTGCAGCGCAAGATCTTCTTGACCCTTTTGATCTTACAGAGGCTTTGGATTTTGACGACACAGCACTTAAGGCTCTTTCCGCTTCTTCATCCTCCTCTGAGTTGATTTTTTCAGCTGTTGCATTGGACCTCATAGGTTTCACAGCCACGCTGCAAGATTGCCTCTCTTGTGTTTCTTTATTATTGCCTGTTTGTGTTTGTTCAGGTGCATCTTTTGAAATGTCAGAACTGCATTTTGTCGAGGCATTTGAATGAACTGACATGACACTTTTGGATTCCCTCTCATCTTCTTTGCACTCAGTGTTCTTTGTTTTCTCAGATTTGTTAGATCTGTTTGATTTGACAGACATGGAACTGGCCTGATCTCTTTCTATGTCACCTTCTGATTCAGCTTTGATTTGCCCCTTTGTTTCATCCAGAGGATCTGGAGACACACCACAGTAACAGGCATGGGAGGGTTTGGAGGTTTTCAATTTTCTTGAGTGTCTTGAAGTGTTTGATATTTTATCTTTGGAGCCAGTTGGTGGATGTGGAATGGGTGACCCTGTATCCAACATTCTACCTACAGCAGCCTCTTTTGTTTCAGGGCTGCTATTCAGAGAAACCGTATCCTTGCTGTCATCATTCTGATTTTCCTCATCACCTAATATCTGAGAAGTGCAACTCACAGACTCCTCTTGTTCTGGTTCCTGAGCAGTTTTGACGTCAAGCTCAACATCTGTGCGGTCACGTGAACCAGCAGTCTCCATGTTATTTAGTTTGGACTTTGGTGAGCAAGTCTCACTCCGGACAGTGCAAAGCTCCATCGTCTCTGCTGCCTCAGTTCTCTGCGTTACACAAGTCTCTTTCTCTACTATGCCCTCTGTGAGTTCTCCACTCGATCTAGACACAGTCTGTCTTTCGACAACAGTTTTTCTAGACACCACTGTGAGTGAGGATGCACTGGAGCTTGAGGTCAGAATGCAGCGGCTTGCGGTGTGCGCCCTTGGTACATTTTTACAGTCGTCGTGATCCTGACTGCCGAGGTGAGCACAGCGAAGCTCCTCTGTGTGTCCCTGATGGCGCTGAGTGAAACAAGCCTCGTCAGCAGAAATGTTTTCAGATTCTGAACAGCTTACATCACAAACTTGTGCAAAACATGGGTTATTGTGTCCTTGGATGTGGTCACTGGTCCCGCCTGTGGTCTTTCTTACTTTCGTGGACCACTGCAGGGTTTGGTCATTTTGTAGTCTGAAGCGTACTTTCATCTCCATTGTCAAACTGCCGTCTTTATTAACGCGGACCAGCTTCTCAATGTCGTCTTCTTGCACGCTGTTGCCAGTGGGTGGGCCGGAACCAACAGCGTCCGGAGAGTCGGTTCCATCTGGTCTGGACTTTTCAGATGACGACTGCTTGGTGGCTCTGCTATCGGGATCCAGATTTGGAGGGTCGCCATTCGTCTTTATAGAGAGTCCTTGGTTCAGCCATAAAAAAAGACAAATATGAGAAAGAAGTGTCATGTTTTGAAACTATCATGATTGAAAACAACATTTAAAGCTTTTTTCCCCCAATGGACCTATTTAAAATCTTAAAAAGACTATGGCTTTGGCATAACTTTTCATGTACTGGATCAATGAAGGTTCACAAAAAAGACTTTCCTCCTTACTTTCATCGGTGTGTCCAGAGGAGCGTAACTTGGCGCTCAGCTTTGGGAGCTTGTTGCTGAATGTTTTCTGAAAGTTCTCAATGACTGACGGGTGAGAAGGTTCCCGTCCAACACAGACGAGAACACCTGGGCACTGCAGAAGACTCTGAACACTGTCAATCTGATAGAAGAAAAAGTGTCATCAGTTTGCCAGTTAATACTCTAATTTTATCTCACGACATTCAGCAAATAATAAATTATTCATTGGCAATGAATTATCTAATACAGAGAAACAAACTGTTTTGTCCTCATGAGGAAAGAGCAGTTTGTAACTTAGTGCTCTGATTTATGTTTTGACATTTTATTCAGAAATAATTAGTCATGAGAAATTGTTTTACAAGTTGCCTTTATGTTTACTTTTTACAAAATCAGAACTCTAATAAAACAGGGTGACAGAAAATCTGCAATGTTGCCTTTAATTGTTTTGACATCTTTCAACACAGCTGCAAACAAGAACAATATGGGTTCATACAATAAATCAGTGACTACTTACTTGTGAATAAATACTCTTCAAAGTTGTAGAATCTGATTTAAAATGACCCTTTTTAACTTGTTAACTTTATTTCCCAGTGTGCTTTTTGATATTGATTTCTGCCACCTATTTTTTTTATTGACAACTAATTTTGTGAAAATAGACACTGAAATATTGAGTGCATGTTTTTTTTCTGCTTGTGTACAGTCAGTTTTGATGACAGTGCAGTTTTTACATTTTAAATTTGGTGTCGGGAGCGGCAGATGAATGGCTTCATCTGGGGTCACACAAAGCCCAGATGAAGATAATTAATTGCCACAGCAGAAGACACATTTCTGAAACACCTCTGGTATCAGAGCAGGGGAGTTTCAACATTGACCTGTTTCTCTTCTCTCAAAAATAGCTCTGATTTGACCAAGATTAATGGGGTTTCTGAGAAAAATCCACAGTCTGAAAGTGTGTGTGTGTGAAGGAATATCCCAATTTCACTCTCATATTCTCACTATAAATATGTATCCCAGTTGGATAATTAAAGGCTACTTATTTCAAAATAAATATATTCTGAAAAGCGTTTGTCCTTTAAATTATACTTAAACTTAGAGTTACAGCTGACACCATCAGCTGTCCGTATGCATCTTGTTTAACAGTGTTATATTCAGTAGAACGTGACCATTTATATTTAAGAGAATTTTTGTTTTTTCACAAAGACTTTGACAACAGAAGGAAAAGTTGACTTCTTTTCAAACAGATATGGAGCACCAAGTGTAAAATAGAATGTTAAAAAAATCATTAAAACATTTTCATTATTTAGCTGACTTTCTGAATGTAACTTAGTTCAGAAATTTCCACTCACATTTTATTGTTCTTTGGCTCACTGTTCTTCCATTTTGCTAATATTTACTAAATTATCATTTTAAATGTAATGTGTGAATGTTAAATCCTAAATCTAAATATAAATCTTAAATGTGGCTAAATGTTAAAGTTTATTTTTAAGTATTTCATAATGCAATGCAGCCTTTGGCCTTGGTGGCAGCTTCTGACATCATCATAATGCAACAAAAACAAATGCTAATGCTGCTAACACTGCTAATGCTTCGTTACAAAACATGAAACTTGCAGTTGCGTGCGATGACCAAGCTGCACTTCAAACTGCCAAACCACATATACATTTTTTTTCAATGAACATATTTTGAGTTTAGATTTTAGCCATTTTCAGCAGTGTTAGCATTTGCTTTTGTCGCCGGATGATGATGTCATAACAAGAGCAGAGCACCCACAGCAAAGGCTATTTTCCATTCCGAAATACTTAATCAACATTCAACCACATTAACTTTTACATTTAGATTTACACATTCATATTTAGGATTTATTATTTAGACATAACATTTAACATTTAGTGCAAATTAGCTAAATGTAAGAGCAGTGAGCTTAATGATAGTGGAAAAAATTTTTAACTAAGATTTTAAAGTCAGAACGTGTGCTAAATAATGAAAATGTGTTAGTGACAGTAAACATTTTATTTTACTCTTGGCGTCTCATGTTTGGAATTATAAATTATAATTTTTTTATCTAATAAATTTTTCATCAAATGTAAAACTAACATTTTTATCACACAATTTACTCTGTTCTGTGTAATGTGGCTATTATGTTTATCATGTGAGAAATGCTACCATTTGCTATGAACACTTGAAAATAATGTAATATTTCATATAGTTTTAAAAATGTGAACAATGTCAAGTTGAAATTATTTGGGTTTTTTTTTTTTTATCTGTAACCGGCGGTCCTGCTTATACGCTCTCTAAGCCACCAATGAGAGACAAAACTTTTAAACCAAACATTTTAGCACTTTTTCAAAGGCAGCTCATTGCCTATTTTAAAGGTACTGTAAGTTTTCGATTTGATCAATCTTTCATTAAAACTAAATGCAACTTTGAGAACAAAATCCAACCAAAACAAAGCACCATGTAAAATAAAATCTGCTCACCTTGTGGCCGTCTTGAGTGTACAGTTTCCTGACGTGATAATGCATGAGCTCCGAAACTTCCTCTAAAAACAGAGCGAAGCTGTGCAGACCCCTGCGGCGCAGTACGATGGTTTTCCTGCACGAAGGCTCGCTGTTTTTCACCAGCACCACCTTCTTGTTGAAGCGGTGATGATGACGATGGCATTCGTTGCACGAGTGAGTCTCTTCCGGCCTTCTCAGCTCCCTGAGAGCGCACTGGTGAGGATGACGGTGAGATGATGGGTGGTAGAAAGGCAACAAGTGGGTCTCTGCAGCCTCCAGGGCCTGGGCATGTTCATACTCTGAGCAAAGGAAGCATCCCTCGAACAGGTTGTGATGGGCTGCCATGCCATGGTGGGGGATCCTGGGTAGGTGGGTGGTGTGATGCTGGTGGGAGCCTTCTCCTTCAGCACTGAAGCACTGGAAGTTGTGTTTGTGGCAGGACATTGCGGCTTGTTGTGGTAATTTAAGCTGCCAGCTGAGCGGGAAGCGGATGATGGGTCAGCTGAGATGAACGGGGACAGAAGGTTGTCATGTGTCTCCTGACCAGCTTAAAGAAAGGTGGAGCATAACTCGTCTTCATGACTCCCGTTCACGCAACACTAAAAGAAAGACGGGGAAAATAAGCTGTAAATGGATAAAAAATTGTGTTTTTCTAAAATAGTTTCATTGAAATTAACAATAAAATTGTGGTTGTGCAGATGTACCAACAGAAAAAATGTTTTTTTTATCTTGTGTGATTTACAACAGCCAGTTCATTGCTGAACTTTATTTTTGTTTGAATTTTTCCACGACTGATCATGATTCTTCTACTTTCTTCTAAAGCAGGGGTGTCTGATCCTGGTCTTCATCTTCTTCTTCTTCTTCTTCTTCTTCTTCTTCTGTTTTTATTGGCAGGTGACATCTAACGTTAAGATGTATTATCGCCATCTACTATGCTGGAGTGTGGACCAGAGTATCTCCATTTAATCTAAATTCTCATAAATAGTCCTGTTTCCTTCAAAAAATTAATAACTGCTTTATTTATTTTATGTTTATTTAATATCTTATTTAATTTTAATGTCTCTATATCATATTTCATAATTTCTCTTTTTAGCTTCTCTCTACTTGATGCATACTTTTCACAATGAATTATTACATGTTCTACTGTTTCCATATCCCTACCACACTCACAACTACCTGTTGGATGTTTCCCTATCAAATGTAATGTTTTATTTAATCCGGTATGTCCAATCCTCAATCTTGTCATTACTACTTGTTCTTTTCGKTTTTTTCCAATTATTTCCACATTTCCTACTTTCTTTTGTATATTAAATAAATGACGACCTTTATTTCCTTCCTCCCATAATTGTTGCCATTCAGACTTCTATGTCTTTATGAGCATGTATCCACATAAAACTAACCTTTATTTGAATTTGTGTTATTCTAAATATTACTTCATAAATTTCATATACTAATTCCATACGACTTTCAGATGAACTATTTAAAATGGACATTAATGATGATAATGAATCTGAACGTCTGATCCTGGTCTGTGAGGGTCGCTGTGTTTTAAAGGTTTCTCTGCTCAAACACACCTGATTTGAATAAGGGGGGTTATTACCAGACTTGATGAGGCAATCAAATCACTGAATCAGGTGTGTTTGAGCAAAGACACAAGTAAAACATGCAGGACAGCGGCCCCAAATGACCAGGATTAGATACCTCTGATCTAAAGTCTTCATTAGTACCAAAATAACCTCTGAGATGAGGCTTTACAGCTTGTCTGTGAATAAAAATCCTCCCAAAGAGATAAATTTAGGTCTGTTGGTGTAACTGTGATGATGCTCTTAAAGGTTCTTACAACAGAAGGTGAAAAACAACTGGTTTCATGTTTTTATTTTTAACCCTATGGGTGTATTAACTCTGTTTAGTTTCAGAACAGCTCAAGATTTGTACGTCTCACATCCTGAAGGCCGGGAAATCCTGCCATCCAGACATAACCCTAAAGATAGTTCAGAGTTTTTGATGTGAGGTTCCATGGAGAGATCATGAACAATTAATATCTTGCCTGTTGTAGATATGACAACATTAGTTTGTAAAACTGAGAATGACTGTAACAAGCTAACCACAAGACCGAACAGGGCTAAGACCAGTGTTACAGAAGTGCTAGAGCTACCTGCTACTGCTGTCTATGTTTGCTGTTACAAATAACTTTACAATATTATGTAAATAACTGTGTAAGGCAAAACTGACAATTGACAAAAAGATACTGACAAAACGTATTTATTTATTGTGACCCATCACATCAAACTGAGGACTGAGTCTCATAGTGTAGTGCAATGAATAAAACGTTAAGTGCATTTTGTCATAATGAATAAATAACTTATCTACAGGTCGTTTCAGTGAAATAGCTTAAATATAATCTTAAATAATTATTTTGAAACCCTTGTTTGAGCAGAACAACCTTCGTTTGTTGTCATTTTCCCTGTGAGCTAGCAAAGCTTCTTGTCTTTCCAGCTGGTAAATCCTAATATCCAAATATTTTTTGAAGTTTATTCTTTGAAATAACATTCAAAATTCCTCATTAGAATAAGCTAAAAATAGGATTCAGACCGAAGAATAATAAGTTATCCTGACATGGGAGACAAATCAAGCCATTTCTCTCTAATGATATTAGCATGATCCTGGGATCAAAATGTATTTAAATAGCAGGGATCTGAAAATGTGCTTACAGTAGATCATTTTGACCAAAGTTGACTTAATCCACTGTTTGTTCGTATAAACAGTGTTCACAAGAACATTATAAAATATTGTGATTTGAGATTTTAGAGTTGTTGTTTTCTTAATCTGGTCAGAAATCATTTATATTCCTCCAAACAAATCATTCAAAAAAATATGTACAACAGGTAAGATATTACTTGTTCAAAATCCTAAAAAGGGGTGCTTGTTTGGTTAAATAAAGGTAAAACAATAAATAAATAAATAAATAAATAAATAAATAAATAAATATCACAGACTTGAAAATGTTGAACTATTTATAGAAGATGAGAACTTTTTAAAGATTAGGCCCAATGCTCTTTTTTACTTAAATGTAGAAGAATAACTGCTGCGACTGAAGCAACACAGACAAATAAATACACTCTGCAGTAAAATAGTAGAGCTGATCTACTCCAGGTTTAGCGCATGCTGAAGTCACCTGGGGTTGCACCGATCAGGGACGTTTTGAAGCGGTATACATAGTACACGCATGTTATTTACAGCATGCATTGGCTGGTGTGCAGATCAAACGGTAAATGAAGGCAGGGGTAATGGGGATTTTTCCACAAATAAACCCTCCAAGTGACTTTAAATAACAAGCTTAAGTCTCCACATGGAGTGAAAGTGGGCATTACCTCTGCGATTGTCTCCGCCTCTGACAAAACCGCACAGATTGCCCATTTCTCCCCTGCAAAGAAAAGGAATGCAAAGATTATGTACAAATAGCCCAATTGTCTACAATAAGCACACATTATTGTGACAAAACGCGGCGGTAAAGACAATGCATTGTGACGAGATAGGACGCGAGCCCACCGTGAAATTATGAGCTGGAAATTCTGGAAAAATAGGCCAAGCTTGATTGGCGTTCTTAAAGAACCGCTTTTGCGTTATGATAAAACAGCCAAGAGCTTCCTGTAGCTAAACATGTTGGCAAATAAAAGACATTCATATCTGCAAATGTTTAACATGCTTTTTTTTATTATTATTCCTGAGATGCTTCTATACCCATTTACAGCCAACAAATGTGTTTGTCTTCAATACAGCAAGAATAAATCCGTTATTATGGTCAAATTTAGGAATATGGAAGGAAATTCTGTTTTTGGTCATTCTTTTGGGAGTCTTTTTTTTAATTAAATACGTTTTAATATGGTCATCTCTAACCACACTGACAAGGTGACCTGATATAAATGTTGACTTTATCCTTCTGCATCATGATCCCAGATTATTTTTATAAAATAAAAATAAATATATCATTATTTCTGGATCAAATAAAGGTAATGGAAAAAAAAGAATAAGGATGCATGAAGACTTTAAAATGCCAAGTGTGTGCATGAGTGTAAACTGATGGATTTGATAAAAATATAAAACATTATTGAATAATGCAGTCCTGTTTTGCTAATTGTCTGGTCAAGTTTGCACATGCAGTGTTTTTTTTTAATGGCAGAGACCATCATTTATGATATTAGCCGCTGCTAAACAAATTAAAGGTGTGTTTTGTCTCACTCAATTACAAATGCAAATTCTTTATTCAGCACAAGTAAAAACAACATGAATCCTTGTGTCTTTTGAATAATGCAATACATCCCTGAGGCCATGAATAAAACAAATTATCTATAAAATAAAGTTCTAACAAGCAAACTTGCATCCTGCGCACAAAATGTTATTAATTTCTAAACAATGCAGGGATTGAGCCAAAAACACAGTGTAAATGTATAAATTAAGAAGTATACTCACAGCATCCATATGTATGTAAAAATAGCTCCAAAGATGGATATGTGTAGAAAGAGAACTGTTTCCTTCAAAAGGAAAGAAACAGTTTAAAAGCGTTGAAAAGGGAACCCTGACCAAAAGCTGCTCTGCAGAAACAGGCCTGCTTGCTAATCATCCGTGCGAAGTGCTAATGATAGACTGAAAAGCCTCACTAATCACTCTGAGACTGGACTGAAAGCTGCTGAGGCTTTGGACACATGACTTGGACCTTATGAAGGGAGTTCAGGTCTGTTTTAGACTGAAGCACGTGCTCAGGGACATCTTATGACTCAGCATATTTGTGACACATCATTTCAAAATGAGGATTAAGTCAAATTCGGTCAAAATGACCCAATCACATTTTCAGATTCCTGGCTTTAAAAGCTACATTTTGATACCTGGATCATTCTGATATAAGCTTATCAAGAGATATTAGTCTTATTGGTTACTATAATACATTACTATTTGGTCTGAATCCTTATTTTATGTAAATGTAGAAGGTATTTTTTATGTCAATAAAAAGAGGAAACCTCAAATAGTATTTATATATTAAGATTTCCTAGTTGGAAAGAAACAAAAACATTGCTAGCTCACAGGGAAAAATTCAAAATTTTAAGGCGTTTTTCCTCAAAGTCAGGGTTTTTGTTGCTACTGCTTAAAAATGCTTCAAAAACGTTTTAGGATTATATTAAATTTGGATTATATTAAATTCTTCAAGCTCCTCAAATTTGAGGAGCTTGTAGAATTTAAAATGGCTCAATTTATGTTCAAAGTATCTAAAAAGTTTTTACCTGAGCACATACAGAGCATGTTTTCTGAAAGAGAATGGGGGGTATAACTTAAGGGGTCACTCAAACTTCAAGTTCCGCAATTTCCGAACAACAAGAAAAAGCTTCTGTATTTCAATTAAAGGTGTAAAGTTATGGAACAAGTTAAATGAAGATTTAAAACAAAGCAATAGTTTAATACAATTCAAAAGAAAATACAAGGAGGTCATTTTCAATAGAAATACACATTTGGGTGAGAGAAAGCAATAATGTGTTTATTGCAGATAACTTGGTGTAAGGGTTTGGAAAATGGGAAATGGGAAGCATAAAATGGGAAAATGTATAGGTAAATATTAGTAACTGCTGACTGCCACTTTGACTTTGATTTTTTTTAATGTCAGTAGGACTGTAAAGTTTTCAAGTGTTTAGGGGGTAGGAGTTCATAAGTTCTTACTTCTTCCTATACCCCATTTTGAGCATATGTTAACTGAAACAAAAATCTGTATTTTTTTCTTCTTTTTTCTTTTTTATGCACTTCTTGTTACTGTGCACTATTTTATTTTTATATTGTATCATGTTCGAATAAATTTCATTTCATTTCAAATTTCATTTCAAATTTCAGACAGTTCATTCAAATGATACATTGATAAGGCTTTTGTTCGTTATATTTTGACAAAATGCAATTTTTGCATACGTGTAAATCAAAACCATTCATTTGCATATTTCTCCACATTCCACTTTTGAACTTAATCCTTGTTGCGATGTGATGGTTATTTTCCGCTGAGGCTTGTTTTTGTGCATTTATGTTACATCTGATCAACCAAATTTTTTTGTAATAAATCTTAAACTGTTGGGAAGACTTAATTTCCCTTTTAAATGGTGCCACATTTGTAAGGAACATGCAACTGTGGGATGAGCAGCAGAGCGGAGTATGTGGGATGCACACATGAAAAACTTGCCAGATATCTTTGTTACTTGTTTTCAGCTTCTGGTATCACCAGGTGATGCCAGTCTGGTACCCTCTATAAGATTTATTGCTAAGAAGCATTGATAAAACAAAAAAATGAGTCTGTCAAACATCAATTTGCTTACTTTTTGTGCTAAGTTTATATGTAGTTAGTTTTAAACTGAAAGAATTCTTATACCTGAAAAAAGGTTGTTTTCATACACTTTGAATAAATTTGTAATTTCTGTTCTCAGATTCTAAAGCTAATTTATATGATTTATAATTAATGACGTTGGGTGTTTCTGCAGGATACATTTTTTTTCTTCATGGTGAAGTGCTTTTGTGGTGAAAGAACTGGTACTGAGGCTCTTTTTTTTTTTGGTCTAAAATGTTTTTTAGAAAACAGTGTTGTTCAAAAATGGAAGTCTGAATAATAGCAGAGACCCACTTGGATATTTTCTAAAACTCTCCATACGGTAGTACACAGCACAGGCCTCAGATTCAAAGGCCTTGAGCTCGTTTCAGGAAACCAAAACAAAGCAGCTCAGTCTGTTCCAGGCTGAATCTAAGCAGAGACTCTTGACCTTACAATGTTCCTGTTTACTCCCCTGGAGGTGTTACCTTTTACGTCAGAACGTCACTAACTTTAGATTAGACAGAAAGAATACATCGATAAGAAATAATGATCCAAATGTGTAAAAATGAAATACTGGAGCTAACACTTCTTGAAGCGAGGAATAAAACAGACCATGCACTCCTCAATTCTAGTCCAGGAGTGGAACAAAACATCACTCCACATCGACATATATTCATAATGATTCAATTAAATCAAGGCAAAACAAAATCATCACTCCTTATCGTCATCAAATGCCAGTTATGGATTGATTTATCAATCGCAGACTTGTGAGGTGGATTGTATTCATGATATTTTGTGATGAGAAACATCATATCGTCATCCAATTAAATATATTGTAATGAAGATGCTGATTTACACCCCTATTCTAGAATAGATTATTGCAAATCCATAACTTCAGGATGTGATAGTGCTGTTAAAACACTTAAACTTAATTGTTCTGCTGTTTTATGAACCCAGTTTTGATTCAAGAAGCTTTTCCTGTCCTGATCTTTTAGTTCTCACAGCTAATCAGAAGCACCTCAGTTGATAACTTATAAATTGTGTTTTTTGCTTGTTCAAAAATAACTCTTTGGGGGTTTTCTTGCTAATCTAACCTCTACTCTGGATCTTCCTGTAAAACGTCCTAATCTTACATGTTGTTGCTTGGGAACACTAAATAAAGTGGTGTTGTGTCAAACTGGTAAACCTTTCCTGTCCAAGTCTTATGAGGGGCTCTGACGAAGCTTTTCAAGGACAAAGGAACTGCCATGGGGGGCTGGTGTGTGTGTGTGTGTGTGTGTGGGGGGGGGGGGGGTACCCTTATCAGAGGCTCACAGAGAGAATGCCAACCCCTCCCTGTCGGGAGTTACAAGAAATGATTCGTCATGAGAGCAATGACTCCCACGAAGCCTAGTGGGCTGAGTATTTACTGCACCATCTGTCTCCTGCTCTAAGCAGCTTGATGGGTCATGATGGAGCGGCGTTGAGTCAAGGTGCGCCGACTGATTTAATCCTGAGTCATGGGGCGGGCTAAGAG